GCTGAACCTGCAGGGATGGGTTTAACCCACTGTGAGTTCAGCCACTGAGCTCTGCGGGCATGTTGTCCAGGGATGGACGTCAGCTTTTCCACCAGCTGTAATGGTTAGTGTACTGCCAAATTTTTAATTTTTTTACCTTCCTGATTGAGCTGAAAGTTTCCCAGTTCTGACTTTTTCCCTTATTAATGTGATGTTTTGAGCTAAAATAGCTGCTCAGCACTTATTCACTCTGTCTGGATCTGTCCTTGTAAAGTCACATTTTGAAGCTAACATGAAGTTTTCTTTGGAATTTGTCAGCTTTAAAACCTAACGCCTAAGGTTGTGTTCAGTCTGTAACCCTGCCACAAAAACACAGCGCTGTCATTTATTTGAATGGAGCAAAAAATGCAGGGTTGTCTGTTGAACCTGGCTTAACTTTCACTGTTGCACTCACTGATGAAACAACAAAAAAAAGTGCACGTTCCTGGTAAATCACTTTGTGACATGAATGCCACCTGTGATGCCTCTGTGCAGTATTTGGCATGTGATAAACCTGGAATGTATTTCATGTCTCAGCAGTAAAGGTACATCAAATAATCCAGAAAACAGTCAGCAGATTAATCAGTGGCCCCTGCATTTTTTAAAATTTCCAGTATTTCTTCAAGATTTTCAGGAAATGTCACTTCACTGTTAGAGCAGATGGAGCAGACATGAGGCTCAGGCTGATGACATTCCAGCCTCTGGAGTTCCTCCTCAGGAGTCATCAGTCTCCCTCTCAGACATGGCTACCCTTTTAAGGTGGCCAAGCAAAGCGTGGGATCAAAGTAGGCATTCATTACATTAACTAGACCTGCTGCGACCTAATGTACCTCGTGATGGCGTACACTGGAAATGTCACAGCGGCAATATAAGTCCTCAGTGTTTATAGAAAAGTGCTGGCAGAGGCTCAGCAGGGAGAAAGACTGCGCAGTACGCGGCCAGCACCTGAAGACCCTCAGCCGTTTGAAGTTGTTTGACATGAAAAATGTATACAAGGCTTTTTTATTTATATGCTTCTCCTGTGATCTTTGTTTCATCATCCACCTGGACTTGGTGTCCTGATAGGAATTTCATTCTCCTTAATCAGTGTCAAAGCAGCTCATTGAATAAATCAGAGTGGGCTGCGGGATGGAGACCTTCCTGCACGACCTGATAACTGTTAACCTCATAAAAACAGTGCAGTTCTGCTTTACTGGTGCAGAAATGCAAGCTGTCAGTTATCATATTGTCAGTTGGCAGAAAATTATGCAGCAATGTTCATGAATGATTAACAAGTGTGGCTGAAGTAAAAATAATCACAAAAATTCTGATAAGTCTATGAAATGATTTAATTTAAAAGGATTTGCACACTTTCTTTGCCCCCACAAAATAACTCCATAACGTGTAGATCACCACACACTTAGTTTAAGATTAGCATCTTAAAAAGTTAGCAAACATCTACATATCTAACAGACATGGAGCATGATCACTGATGTGGAGTGTTCCCTCCCTTTTAGCTCGGTGTTTGGTCTCTACCAACTCCTTAAGATGATAAATGCTCCACTATGTTCACCAAACACCGCGTTTCCACTATGGTAAATGGTCTTATACTTGTATAGCGCTTTTCTATGCATTTCAGCACACAAGTGCTTTCACACTATTTGGCGATTCACCCGTTTGCACTCCCAAGCACTCACACAGCTCAAGGACACTTCAACATGTGGACGGGAGTCAGACCGCTAATCCTCCAGTTGGGGCATAATCCGCTCTACCTCTAAACAGCGGTACACCCCGTACCTCCCTTAACCATCACCAAGCATAACCTCCTGGGTTGAAGCCGACCATCGGCTTCATCGGCTTTACACAAGGTGCTTGTAATGCTAATGCTTGAGGTGTGAATACGCCAACATTTAACCAATCGCCAGCAACTGCTCTGTGCGCACGCACCCCCTTCCCCCTCATGGTCCTGGTACTTGATTTTAGTATGATCTCCTGAGGGTGTGCTGAAATTTAGCTCCAGAATGCACCTCCAAAGCAGACGCACCATAGTGGACACCAATGCAGAACCCATGAGGAATCGTACTCGGTGTGATATGTTTGGGTACGGTCCTGTAATGGGAAAACACCTCTAACTGTGCCTGTCTGTTGTTTGCTGCTGATGGCAAATGTGCACCTAAACCAAAATCTAGGAGCTGTAAGTGATGAAAAGCTTTGCAGAGCAGCAGAGTTAGTGACAGTTATGTGATCTTACAGCTGAGAACTTCTAACACCCAGCTGTCCCAGTTGGACCCTGTTTGTTCCCAGAGTTACTCACCGTCAATGGGGGTGATGTACTCAGACAGGTGGGCCCCTGAGGTGGCTCCAGCCCCCTGCATGAGCAGCTCATTGTAGGGGCTCCGGTGGCTGGCCATCAAGTGGTAATACTCAGCTGGACTTGCCCCGGAAGGAGGGGGGGGAAGTCCGAACAGTCCGCGGTCTTTCAGGTGGTCATGGGCCACTGCAGGAGGGAGAGAGGGTGGAGAGGGTGATAAGGAGGGAGGGGAAAGGAAGCCGAGGTGGAAGAGCAGGGAAGTAAGATGGGAAGGAAGGAATAAAAGAGGGATAGAATGATGCAGGGATGGAGTGAAAGGGGGGAGGGTACATTCCTGGTGTATCCTGCCTCCTGCTGAGGAGACCTTTGTATGGAGGGAGGAGCCGTTGGGCCAGGATCACTGATGTGCAGTGGCCTGTGTAGGTGCTCCCACCCTCCAGACCCCGGTCTCTAAAATAAATATCTTCCAGTTTATCAGTTTTATCAGTTGTCTTTTTAGCAAAGATCAGAACGGAAAATAGGACCACTACTGATGTAGGGAACTGTATTGAACTTGTAAAAGGATAGTTGTGGTTAATACATCTTGGGCCCTACCTTCCCTAGCTTTGGCCAGCTTCCCTATAGTTTAATGTTCCTTTTCCTACAGAGTCTCTGTTACTGTCTTCACTTTTTGTCTTCAAATTTTAAAAATTTCAGTGTAGTTCTGTGCATATGTCTACATCTGCCTGTGTTTACCTGGCATGTGCTGCTGTTAAGTGTCAGCGCCAGTAAGAGTTCTGTGTTTCCACCTCTCTTTCTGTTCCTGAAGATACAGGTCTGCAAACCAAACGTCTCCCCTTGATTCAGGGAGTCTACCTCCTGCCCTCGACTCCTAAGTGATCTTTCAGACAACATTAGGGCTCAGGACGTGAAAGAGAGCAGCTGCTGTGCTTGTGGTGACTTCATAGTTGAAGAAGTCACCCTTAAGGATCACATTTCCACCTTAAAATGTTCTGAATGATGAGGAAAGAGGCAGATAAAGTCCAGAGCATTTTTCTTAATCAAATGAAAGTCTTTGCGAAATAAGACAGAACAGAGCAGCAAAGCAGGAGGTCAGAAGCCAAACAGGAAAGAGAAAGTAGTGTGGAGGTGATGTGTTTGAAAAGGTGCTTACTGAATGAATCAGATCACACTGGTAGGCCATGCTAACTCTGTAAACAAAGCTCCAGGTGGTGACAGGATGTTATCACCTCTGACTGTACATGTCAGATGTTGTGGACAGTTTATGGGGAAAAAAAAATCCTCTAGAGCAGATAAAACCCAAGGCCACCTCTTTCATCAAGCTATTTGCATTCCCCCCACTGCAAATACTCTCTCCTTTGCACAGCTTTATCACAGCCAGATCTCAGGCATGGCTGCTTATTTAAGTTTAAAGGCATTGCACATTACCACTGACAGACTGTAAAAGGAGATTTATATCCTGCCCCACTGCCATGCTTCAATCTGTTACTACAATTCAGTGCTAAAAAGAGTTGTCATCACATCCTAGTAAATGTGGGGTGTGCAGACGTTTCTGCCAGCACTGTCACTTCATTTAATTTTCTGCTCTCTGCTGAAGCTAATTCTTTGACCAAATACAGGAGTACCACAGGTTTCAGCTACTACTATTCACATCAGTAAAAGATCCAACTTGAAACCCCTCACAGACATTTCCACAGATCTCTGTATGCTTTTTTTTTGTCACCACACGAATCTGACATCTCTAAAATGATAAGACATCACTTTCTTGGACTGTTGTAGGAAAAAAATGGGGTGAATATTGTGAACTTACAGTCAGCTGGGCTTAGTCCTCTGGCTGCTGAGATCATGGACAGGGTGGGGCTGCCATGCACAGAGCGCAGGTAATGCTCCATGTGAGGGTTGACGTACGGGTGTGGTGGGCTGAAAGGGGAGTCGCCGTTCGCCACTGTGGCAGGCGAAAGGCGGATCAGGGAGATGTCGGAGATGACGGGACTGCCAGCCAAACCTGCAGGCCTGGACGAGAGGAAGACAAAATGGAAACTGATTTTCAGTATGTTACAGTGTAGACACAGCTAATACAGTAAGAAGTAAGCCACTGTACCAAACAACCACTCTAATGAGATGCCCATCAGCTGGACACTAACCTCTGGCCTCCAGGGACAAAGACAAATGAACAGAGGCTTAGTAAATAAACAGGGGGAAATAGTGCCTGTGTAAGGGACTATTTTCAGTGGCAGAAGAATCCACATTTGGTCTCTAGTGAGTATCTGCAGCAGCAGAACAGTGTGTGTTCATGGTGATGAAGAAACATGTCAGCCAGCGCAACAGTGTGGTCACTGACTGACAGTACTGGGGCTCTATGGCACAGAGGGAGGAGAGAGATCAGACTTAGTGATAACTCATTCATAGTAAATATTCAGAATGTGCTACAGCCCTTAAAGCCTGAGCGTCTCCACTTTAAATTCTACACGGCGTCGGCACCAAACGTGCTTTGACACGACCTGAAGCACCTTCACACTCGTCACGGACTCCTCCAGCGAGCGTCTTGAGTAATCCATCTGCTAAGCTGATCCTCTGTATGTACACAGCCAGGGCTGGGAGTGAGATCATGTCTAACACGGTTTCTCTATCGGGCTTTTGATCTGGGACAGTCAGAGGAAGGGGTGAGATTAGGGTCACAGAGATGAGTAGACAGGGAGGAAGTATTGTATGGTGGGCAACCACCTCTGTACATCACTCTTCTATCCACGGTGTCGTTTATCTGTGTTGGCTTCTCTGCAGAGGCAAAATACTATGGGGTCATTCATGGGACATTTGTGGCTTTTGGAAGATGAGCCTGATAAACTCTGTGGTGCTAAAGAGGGTATAAAGTATATCAATGACTCGGTCTGACAGATACTCGTGTTACTTTGTGAAATCACAACGCTACCTGTGCTAAAAAAGTGACTTAATTGGATAGTTTTATGTTTCACTGCTTTATGTGGAGCAAAGATTTTCAGCAGTGATGAAAATAATGTTTTTATTTCCCATCAATGCCTCAGTTATTTAAAGGTTAAATCCTGTGAAGCTTTTACAGATTTCAAGGGTTAAAATGTCATGAAGCCTCAATATACAGTATGATTAAAACAATAGAGTGTCATTTTTAGCAAGTTGTTTTTGTTTTATATATTTTATACTTTTTGGAATATTTTCTCTCCAATTTGAATCTGAAACCCTGGTGGAGTGAATGCAGCTGATGTTTCATGTCATAGATCTACAGATGGTGTCAGTGTTGACCAAATCATTTGCTTCATTAACAATATTCTCTCCATCACCCGACGCTTGGCTCACCTCACAGCCTACTGCGAGGTTGCATCATGAGTGAGCCAATGTTTTTCTTCCTCTCCACGAAGAAGATAAAGATCTGATTCTCCACCTAAAAACATAATCTTCAGTCTCTTTGAATAATTAATGCTCTCATCATGTAACAGCCTGCAGGTGAGCTCTGTCCGCCTTTGAACCCAGTCTAGGGGGGTTTGTTTGCCATGATAACACACTCCTCTAACAATCACAGTCTGAGTCGTATGAAGAGTATAAATATTTCTCTTTAGCCTGAAAAGCTTTGTTTAAGCAGACAGCTGCTTTATTGAGGCGAGGGCACACTCAGGAAATGATGGTGCTGAATAAATCATGTAATATTCAGGTATTCAGAACAGGGCGAGTGCTGGGCGACCACAATGCTTGACTTTCAGAGCGTATCCTGGTTCGTCGCCGGGCGGGAGGCTGGAACAGGAGGGGGCCAGACTGTCATCCCAGTCAGATACAAAGGCCATCTTTTGTCGCTTCAATTGGAAGCTCGAATGCATCTCTGTCCTGACAAAGTCATTCATAAACTCAGAGCTGACTGGGCCATTATTTTCTCACGTTACTGCCACAAAATGATGCACTTCATCTCCAATGTGTTTCCACGCATCGCTTTGCTTCTTTGCAACATACAAAGAGTTAACCAAGACACATGGCTGAGAGGAGCAGAAACACCTCTGGGGTTCTGTTGAACCAAAACCAGCTGATTAGTTCTCCAAATGAATGACAAAATACACAGTTCTTCTGATGTGCTCCAATATTTGCAAATGATATCTGTGTGTTCCTTGAAAAATAAATGAGTTTTATGATGTGGCAGCGCTTTGGTTACAGTTTGGTTAGACAACACAACAGTGACTTGGTTACATTTAGAGGCTGGGGTTTAAATAACGTCTTTAAGGTTAGAGGACCGTTACTTTTAAATAATAATAAACACAGGGATCATGGTCATTCTGGCTCTGCACCAACACCAGACAGCAGGCTGGGATTCTGTTCCAAATGGGAGACGCAACGTTGCTCAATCTCAACTGTGACGTGAAGTGCGGATGTAGCTTTATAGGCTCTTCAAGCATTTTTTTTTCACTTTACACAAAATTGTTAGTGCAGTTCTTGCTATGTGCGCGAATGTCATGAGAAATAACTGCAGTCAACGTGTTCGTGACATCAGGAATGCTTTCACCTATAAGTTAGAGAGAAGCTAAGAGCAGTTCGAGGCAGAGGGGCATGCAGACTTGAGACACCGGTGATAGTGTCGCACACATATTACATCATCAAAACGCAGCACTTGGTCCCGGACTGCAGGCTCAACCTTTCTACACAGAGAGTGTCTGCCCTTTGTTTTGCCTCTGGTACTACCTCCAGAGATGGAACAAAAAGGGCACACCATTCCGGCTTTACGTCTCACACACAAAAAATGAGACGAAATAAAGGCGCACCAACCCTGCCTCAAAGAGATCGTGTGTAAGGGGCCTATGTAAGTTAAGGTGGCGCTAGCCTGAAACTCCAAATCATTCCACTGTGCTCTGCCCAGCGCACCCTCTCCCTGCTTGGCTCTACTACAACCCACCACACTTTGCCCAGCTCTGCAGATATTAGTTGTTATGAAATTACAAGAAATGAGAACACAACAAAACTGACTGATCACACAGAAATAAGTGAAAATCCCTGACTGGTCAGAGACGTCAGTCCTGCTCAAAACCTTTTAGAAGCTGATACCTCTGCACTGCTGCCAACGCTGTTCAATGAGTCTGGGTCACAGGAGGCTTCGACAGCTCCTCTCCACATTAGGACACGTTGTGGAGCAGATTTCTACAACAAAATATTTTTATAAAAAGTTACATAGTGTAGCTTTAATTGCTTGCTGATTATCTAAGACACTCCCCTCTCAATGATGGCTCAGAGGGCTCTGTCACTTTAACCTAAACGTCTGTATGTTTTAGAGTGCTTGCCAAAATGGTCATTCTTTTGGAGAGCAGATTTGTTACATCTTCCCACAGAAAGTTTATAAGGAGAGCAAACATCAGTGCTGCGTTTCCAGTGGCCATAACAAGAATTCATGCAGCTTAAATCTAGAATCAAATCAAATCAAATCAAATTTTATCAAATCACAACAAATCAAATCACAACAAAAGTCATCTCAGGACACTTTACAAAGTAAGGTCTAGACCTTACTGTTATCAATATTATTACATAGGGAAAACCCAACAAATCCCCCTTGAGCAAGCACTTGGCGACAGGGGGAGGAAAAACTCCCTTTAACGGAAGAAACCTCCGACAGACCCCGGCTCTTGGTGGGTGG